TGGCAGCAGCACAGAGAAGCCACCAGCACTTCCGCTTTCACCACTGGCACTTCCAGGTTCACTTCTTGACTGGCTGCTGGGGCCCACCCCCCGCTCGTCGACCAGGACTCTCCGCTTCCTGACTGACCACCAGGAATACACCACCAAAAAAAGTGAAAACCCCTGCTATAGGTGGCCACCACTGTAGACCATCTATGACCTACTGAACTCAACCACAATTACAGTAATGGATTCATCATTTATTAAATATCCATTAATAATTTATTAACTCTTTATAAACTATTTGCAACCTTTATGTACATGATGAATGCATTTTTTCTGTTTAGAAGATAAAATACAAAAACAGTCTAAGTTATAGGGACAGCACTTTAACAGGCAGTTTTCCTTCATTGCTTGGTTTTCTCTTCATAATTATACCAAGATTTTATTTCTGTTAACTCACCTCAATATTCCAGATATTTAAGTTGGACAGCAGATCCCAACGAAAATTGCCTCTCTTATCAACACCATTGAACCCATAGCCAGCTGCATTGTTGACTGCATCTGCTGCAATATTTAAAGGAAAACTGGCAGAATTAAATTGTGGAAGGAGCTGCGTTTCTTAGAGAGTAGTCTGGCAGTAAACACAAGGACAGTGCTCAAACAACAACAAAAAAACCAAGAAAAAAGTGGCTGAGTCTCATTCAGAAATCAACACAATCCATCTTTAACGTCATCAGTGTTAAGGCCATCGCTGTAAAGAAGGATGCATGTTCCTCTTGGAAGGAGAGAGAACTATATTATTCCTGAGATGGGGAAAAAATAATCTAGCAAAGGACATTTAACAGAAATAGCTTTTCTAACTATTGTAAAATTAGAATTCACATATTCCATGATTATCATTAAAATGCATTTACATTTAACACAAAATGGCACCTAAAAGACCACAGTATTTTCCTTTAATTAAAGGAGGAAAAATTGCAATGGCTTTGAGCCAGGTCTCCAATAAGTATGATTTTTTTAATTGCAGTTTTTTTGGACACCCAGGTACACAGCTTTGTGTTAATTTCACAATGCGAGTGCCTTATTAGCTTCCTATCCTGGCTGTCCCTAGAAATCAAATGTGGAGATATACAAACTTGAATTTGCAAGGGTAAATAACTCCCAGTGAAAAAAATGAAGGCTTGGCTAATATCAGATTGGACACCATCCCAGACTGCTTGCTTACACTGCACTCCCACTAGAGGATTCATTGTTCATCATTATTGCCGTTCTTTCTCTGTCCTCTTCTCCCAGGAGTCCATCACGATAGTTCCTTTCTCAAGCCTGATCTGGGACTCCCCTAGTCACTGAACTCCAAGGATCCTACTTTTAAACAACCCCTGCCCAAAGTACTTTTATCTGTGTTCACAAAGAAAAAGAGGACAGACTCCTTAACTTTAAATCCCTAAACACAGCCAAGCCTAAAAGTACTGGAAAGAAAAAATATGACAGCAAAGTCAGATTTTTTCCCTTTAGTTCTATTAAAAAATACAAGTCTGATCAAGAAAAACTGAAGCTGAGATTTTCTTTTACTTTTTATTTTTAAATTAACTGATGTCAGCATTTTATTTATGGGATCCAAGACCATCCTCGCTCTCTTTTATGAGAGTAGAAGCATACATTCAGGGCAAACCCTCAGAGTGCAGCCTTAGAGATGGACTCCAAAAGGCATAGCTAACCAGAAAAATAAGGAGCCCTTTCCAATCGGGAACTTTCCCTGAAACGTTCCACTTTATGTATAAGTTGGACTTAAATGATGGAAACAAATGCTTCCAAGTCTTGACTTCTGTTTCTGCCAATTCAGAAACAACCCTATTTGATACTACATTCATTTTGCAGGAGAAGAAAAAAAAGGAAGTAATATTCTGCCACTGGACCAGTTATAAGTGCTTACCATTGCTGGAAGAATTATGTAAAATAAATAAATAAATGACCACCTCTGGACTTTTGGCTTGCTGCAACACAGTACTACAGGCCTAAATCTTAATATTCACACCCAGGGTCCTGTGTGTGAATTATCTCTGGGAGGAGGCTGAAAAATTTTCTTGCCCAAGATTGTGGAGAAATCACCATGCCAACCTGTAGCAGGCAAACTGAGTTATGCCAAGGCTTTTAGCTATAGTCCAGGCCTTCCCAGAGCTAAGCAACAAAATTGAACAGAGCGACTTCTGTGGCACTGGGAGATGCGAGTGCTGTGACCGGGCACTGGGCAAGCAAGTGACAGCAGTTTCCCTATAAGAAATGTGGCTAGCACAGTGCCAGAGGATTGGTGCACCATAAGGACTGCTTGGCACAGAGCCAGGGGATTGGACAATTTGGGATGAGATAAATTGCAAAAGTGATGGACAAAAAAGGAACACGTGTGTGTTCTGTGTTGCCACCCTGGGGAGACAGGAGCAGCCTTGGACTTCTTGTCTGAATAACGAGGCATCCAGAAACTAACATCCTACACACCCAGCAGAGGATCTAAGGCTGGTACCACCGAAGGTCGCTGCTGCAACGCCTGAAGGAACTGCTTGCCAGGTCATATTGCAAGGAAGAATACTTGTAATAAGCCGAGGGGTTAATATTAAAAGTTCACTTGATACCAAATTGGACAAGGGGCCATGTCAATCCTTGGGGGTCTCTGGTAAAAGGAATCCTAGGGGCAACAATTGGAGGTGAAAAATTTTCTTTCCCAAGATTGTGGAGAAATCACCATGCCAACCCAATGGCTGGAGCAGCCTCCATGGCCAGGTCTACACAAGCAGGGGCATGCCTTTACAGCAACACAAATAGTAGTGGCACAAATATGTGCTGCTACCTTGCGTCCCAGTGCATGCCCCTGCCCGTGTGCTTTGCAGCAGGACACATTGTCCTGGTGCTCCATGTGCTTCAGGGGGTGCTGGCTGGGGCACAGAGTGCCTCAGCAGCAGCTAGCCATCCCGTGCACTGTGGGACCATGCCCCAGCCAGCTCGGGAATGGCACATGGAGATGGGAGAGAAGGCAGCCCTGGGCTGGCTGCTTCCATCTCCATGTGCCTCAGTGCAGGGGCTTCATGTGCCTCAGCTGGGGGATCCACAGTGAAGCCCCAAGATGAGGCATGAGGAGACAGAGGAGCAGCCAACCCAGGGCTGCCTGCTCCCCTTGCCCTGAGGCACCCTGCACCCCAGCCAACCAGGAAGTGGCTGGCTGGGGTGCAGGGTGCCTCAGCACAGGGGCTCCACAGCAGCCTGCTCCCCCGTCTCTGCATTTGTGCCCACCACCAAGCACTTATTAATGTGCAACTTATGCAGTTTTAGGCGCTGCAAAGAGGTTTGCAGCACCACAAACCACACATGCCTGAACGTCTGGATCCAGCCCATGTTTACAAATGCATCTCTGAAAAATAGTAGAGTAGTAAATCTTTCCACTCCACGCCGAAGTGAAGAAATTCCCTTGAAGGCTGTACCACACACAACAAAGAACCAGCTCCCCACTACCACCTGATCAAATCCCCTCTGCAGAGCAGCACTGCTTTGGTTCCAGCCTCAAATCCAATAAATAACTAATTGGAGGAAGGGGCTTCTTTGGCTGTTTACAAAAGAAGTCCCCTATTCCACACAGCTGAAAACCACAGTGGCAAGTTGTCAGGTATCCAAAGACTATGCTTAATATGCACATATGCACACAGGAGCAGACTACTGCTACTACCATCATTAAAAACTCCTTATTATCCCCCTGTGAAACGTTAGTCCCCACAAAGTTGCATTACCTTATTCTATGTGAAGGTGGACAAAATCTGTTTGCTAGTGTCTAATATTAATGTTAACCCTGAAACAGAAGTGGTTTCGATGCAGCATAATACTACCAAGTGACAAAAAAATCCCCAGTTTCCAGTCCTCAAACTACTGGTGAATTCCTGATCTTAAGAATTCCCAGTAGGAGTTCTTTTTCATTGATTTAAGAGGGAGAAGTATTTTAGCCCCCTTCTTCAATGCAAATCTACTCCACTTTTTGGCTGACTGAATTTGGTTCTAAATGATTTTTATTAACAAGAACGAGTCAAGTCTTCAGCTAAGTTCCATTGTTTAATGCTAACACAGTAACAGCTTGAATTTTCTGTCTTTTCATCAGTCTGGAGGAATTGTACAGTGTGGCTCTCGCACAATAGCCTGACTATTCTTTTCTGAAAACAGGAACTGCTTATCTGCACTTTTTAGACACTTATATAATACCCCGTACCATGTCACAGACAGCTGATCTAAAAAGGGGGAAAAGTCATGCTGTTTTATTGTTTGGATCTGTAACACAGATAATAGACGACCCTGCCACCACTAGGCAGAACATGCTTTCCCAAAAAATAATTTAGGAAATCATTCCAAAGTTTAGAAACACTACAAGTCCAAATGACTTTTCTCCATTAAATAATGCATTTTTAGTTAACTAAAAACCTAGCAAGCTGTGGGTAGTAATCTAATTCTACCTGTCAAGCTGTGGGTAGTAATCGAATTCCCACTAAATAAACTACCTCTCTGATTTGTTATCCCAAAGCCCCTTCTATCCCACACATACCAATGCCAGTCATTTTATTCCATCTCATTTTTTCACCGGAGGTAATCACGGCCTTACTCTGAAGGCTCATGCTCCCTTTTTTACCTCTTCCTATGGTGTCCCTCTTCACTTCCACAGGTAAGTTCCTCTACCTACCAGCCATTGGTTATAGTGTCTATACACAAAATCCTGAGCAATGTGCAGGCTCAGATTCTCTCAATAGTTTAATTTCAGTGTGGTCTCTTAAGAAATTGCCCCCAACATGGACATACAGAATAAAGAGTTCTATTTTGAAGTCATTTTGGCTACCAATCCAATTAACTCTACAAATTACCATATTTACTCGATTAGAAGACAAGATTTAACATGGGGGGCGAGCCCCTCGTTTTACAATCAAGCACAAGGCAGCCTAGTCCATTGCTGCTATGGAACAAAAGTGCCAGTTCCATGCTGCTGCCACAAGGTGAGCTGCAGCCATGCTCTGCGTCTCTTGCCCCCCTAGACTGCAGCAGTAATGGAGCATGCTGGTGTAGAGCAAAGGTAATGGCAGGCAGGGCGGGGAGACTTTGAGGGAAGGGAGCGGAGATGGCAGGAAGCGGGGCAGGAACCTGAGACTCTGGGTGGCAGAAGAGATACAGGGAGGGGGAAAACAGTGGAAGAGGGAATTGAGGCAACCTGAGAACACAGGGTGGGGTAGGCACAATGGGAGGTAAGTGGGAAGGGGGGGACAAATTGAAGATGATCCACCAATAACTGGATTCCATACATGAAAAACTGTAATAAACTTATACATTTTCTGTGTGTAGACTCTAATTAAACCAGGGCTCAATGTACATTCAAGGTCATCTTGTATTCAAGTAAATATGGTAATTCAAAACTTGTTCCTGCACCTGAAAAATTAACCCATGTGCTTCTTCCTTTTGCATAGCCCTGTCTGCCCATTTCCTTCTGAAAATTTTTGGGTCTCTCTCTCCTCTCAGCAGTTTTTTGGTCACCTCAGTAGTTTTTGGTC